CCTGCCGGTATGAAGCGAGCTGCAGCAGCAGTGATAGCCCTGCGGAACTTACGTTCACCGAGATGGACGTCGGTTGGTGTGGGGAGCGCTGCGAAGGTGTTTTCGCATACCACCCCCGGACATAGACGAGACGGAGCTTCATCTGCCTCGGGAGACACGCACAACACTCGCACAACTTCGCTCCGGCTACTGCAGCAGGTTGAACTCCTACTTGAGTAGGTTGAATGAGGATGTGCCGAATGAGTGTCCGGCATGCGGAGAGACCCCACATGACTCGAAACATCTCTTCGCATGCCCGGAAAACCCGACAACCCTAACGGCCTTGTCCCTGTGGACAAACCCCACAGAAGCTGCACGCTTCCTAGCGTTGCCGTTAGTGTAACTTGACGACAACGACTGAGATACCAACCGATCTGGGCGGGGTTGTTGTTGTTGTAGCNCTGGGCGGGGTTGTTGTAGCCGCTACAACAACAACAACAACAACAACCCAAATTTTTATCTGGCCAAGGACTGTCAATCCAGCAACACTCTCCGAAAAACTCTTTGGGGAACTTGTTTACTGCTACAACAACAACAACCCAAATTTTTATCTGGCCAAGGACTGTCAATCCAGCAACACTCTCCGAAAAACTCTTTGGGGAACTTGTTTACTGCTACAACAACAACAACAGTCCGAATTCCACCCAACTCCAGTACGATTTTCAGTTTTTGAAAGCTTTCACCGAGCTTCCCAAGAGATTGTCTGGATCTCTACATTGCTCTACTGTATCAGTTTGTCATTAGGTCCCAAAAATAAAGGATATTGTTCTGAGAACCTTTTAACCAACCATCTGTGTCATCCAGAGCGCCGATTATCGTTCCACATTCCAAAAGAATTCAAAGGTGGCAAATCCAACAAATCATTAAGAGCCGATCCTGACGTTGCACTCATGGCGCTCGTAATTCCTATACATACGCTGCTTTCTAGCCTAATTAGCATGGAAACAGTTGTTATGTCCATGGTTCTACGCCACCATATGCAGTCTACAGCAGAGTACGTGACGATTGGTCTGACTAAAGCTATAAACATCCAAAATACCATAGCCGGACCCAGACCCTAGATATTCCTAAGGATTTTCCAACTTTGTCCGAAAACTTTTAGTGTTCCACTTACCTTCAGCTCGACGTAAGTTATCTATGTCAGTCATGTTGCTTCAGCATGTTTTGCTTCGCCCAATGCATCTCCTCCTTCCAGTCACACGCGACTGCACAAGCCTATAAAGATTTCGTGATATTTACCCTCGACATTGTAGCGCCATCGTATCGTATGTTCATTCAGAAGCCTTCTGCCGTGCGAGGAGGAGACTGCTTCCAAGTGTCAGAAGGCACCCTGCTGCTGTGCCCTTACGGGTGAACCTTCGCCCTCTGAGTTCTACCAGTCCAATGGGAATAAACAGGCGATGCATAATTTAGAACCGACTGGCTAATGGACTTGTACGTTGGTACCAGCATTTATTTTTACCCAAAGTGGTGCCGGCGAGCGGTATCTGGCCAAGGACTGTTACTCCTTGTTGCCACTTTGTAGGCAATTGCGGTTGTATGCGCAGAAGAGGATAAGCTGTCAAATGTAAGCTCTAAAATGTTTCGACCGTCGCCATTGGAATGCCATCGACATTGAATCAAAAGTTGGCTGCACCCCAACTTCATTGGAAGCGATTAGTTGAAAGGCCGTTAACACCAGGCGATTGTTGCTTTCAACTAAAAGTTGCCTGTAAAATCGCCTCACGCGAGCACTGTATGGCTGAGAGAGCTTCGAGAAGCAAAATTAAAACAGTAGCGGGAAAGGACACCAGCCCTTGGAAGCTGCTAGCCTTCGAGGTATGATCTCGAAATAGTTTATATCATGATGGAATTTAGGGTTTTATATCATTCTGTATCATGGGTTTAGATAAAAAAAAAATTTGAATCGTAATGAGATTTTTTTTTTTGTATTAAAATTTAAGGTTTTTCTTTGCTTTAAATGTATGTATTTATAAAACTAAGTTTTATTAATCTTTATATTTAAATATAATACATGCATTACATGACTACACCACAATTACACAATACACAATTTAGATGCTAATACTTCCTATTGACATTTGCTCGAGGCGATTTCAATTTGGCCACCAATACTTGGTTTGGAATGCAGAGCTTGCAACAATTCTTGAGGGCTTTCCAATTCTTTGGTCAATAAATCTTCACGCCAACCCGGTTGGCTACATACTTCGTACAACTGTTGCACATCTCTCACAGTCTCTTGCGCATCACCATCTCTATTGCCAGTTTCAATTATTTCGGCGATTTCCTTGTTTAATGCCTTCTCCAACAACTTTGGTTCATAGTCGGCAATGAGCTGCTTCACTTCAGCTTCTAATTCATACAAATGACGATCCTCTTCTCCGGGAAACAATTCACGCATTGCGCTTGCCAAATTGAAAAGGTATTCTCGATTCGGTCCACTTGGCCCCGCAGCTGCGAATATTTGTTGCGCTATTTCCGGTATTTTCCATACATTCCCCGCATATGATGTATTATCTGGTGTTGCTATATACATTGATATATCAAAGTGATTGTCCGGCTGTTCGGGATACTCATAAAATTGCAAAACACAGCGTTCATAACCGTTCTTTTCGCGATGATCTAAATGTGCTAAAACTTCATCGCGATGCTCTTCCGAAATACGATAAGCTATGCCATAGACGCGACTCTCCAAACTTACAGCTGGTAACAGTGTTACAACACGACCAGGTCTCGATTTGGTGCCACGATGATCAATGCTGTTCTGATAGAAAAGTCTCCGGTAACCGCGTATAAAACCACGTTTACGGTCGATAAAAGGAAAGTCGGGTTTCCATATGAGTGAACCATAACCAAAAATCCATACATCGTCCTTCGTGGGTTTGATGTAACGAGTCTGATTAGAGGATGTGTAAAGTGACTTGCACAAATTGTTGGTCGGATCCAACCATGGTGGCTGATCGGGCTCTAATATACGATTTTCAAAGTATTTTTCATAAATATGCTTCACAAGAACTTCAGTGCTGCTGCAAATATCGCCATTCAGTGGCAATTTCAGCCCTTTACAAAGCTCTAAAAATTTATCTTTGTTCCTAAGCATTTTTGCTCGCTACTGATTCCTAAATGGAGGAAATGTTAAGACATTAAATGGGTTTATGAATAAAATGGAATATTCAATTTTACCAAAAATTTTGATTTCGAATGACTTATCACTTTGGAAAATGAGTCTACCGTGAATTATGTTCGCCGACCTAAAGGTAATAAACTTATACTGGAACGATTTCGAATTTCAGCGATCATTGAGGTAGAGTCTCAAAAGTAGATAAATGAATGGACACACTTGATTTCCTTTATCTATGCAAATATCCTTCCTATTCTGAAAATCAGACCAAAGGTCTTCGTTATAGAAAAAGTGACTGCGTTAAACATAAATATTTACAAATTGTAAAATAAACGTCAAAACTGCCTGCGTTGCCAACAGCAGTAACACTCTTGAATGCTACCAGAGGCTTTTAATTTATAAATTTAAACACACGGCAAAGAACGTAAACATTTACGTTCTTTGGTCAAGCCGCTTGTGTTGTGTATTTCGCTTTTAAGCCGGAAACAGAATTATAAAGTACGGCGAATAACGGTTTATAGTCGTTAAAAGATATACGATGAATAGTACCATCGTGAACAGTAAATACTCTACGCATGTTGCTATTGATCGGTAGTTTACGTACGCTTGCTGAAACTGGTTTATGCTTACTCACAACAGAACGTTTAATAGAGAAGCTGCAGAGAACGTTTAATACAGAGAAGCAGCAACACGCTACTCGTTGGTATTTTGTAATAGATCAGAAATCGGCTAGAAGTTCACCACGTTAAATTTTTAACATCGATAGCTCTAGAAGTTCACCATTTTTTAACAGCGTGAGCGCAGAGCGGCACAAAATAACAGAATTTGAATAAATTAGCAATTGTGAAATGTTATTTTTGTGCACGTTTATATCTATCAATAAAAATGACTTTTTATAGTTATTTTAATGACCCTTTCATTGAATTAAATCGAAAACCTTTTTTAATGGTTACAAAAAATTTCTGAATAAATTTTGGGAAAACGTTATTTTCATAAAAATTCCAATTAACTAATATAAATTTGCGAAAATTTTGTAAACCATATTTTCGTCAACAATTAGTAAATTCTTCATTGAAAAAATTTTAAACACGCTAAAAGGCAAGCGCATAAAAATGTTTGTAAATACATATATGATGCATTTATATGTATGCACATATGCAAATAAACAAATGTTGCGTGCGGTTAAAATTTGTTCGTTACTTTTTTGTATAAAAATATGGTTAATGCTTTAATCAAAACCACATAAGTCAAACTTTATACAAAACTTTGAAAAATTCAACGAATTTTCGCCTAAATTTTGAACTTTTTAATCTGAATTTTTAAAATGATAGATCGGTAGAAAAGCAAGTGCAAGTTTTAAGCGGCTAAAAAATCGCGTCGATTTTTAATGATTTTTTATTGTGGACGGCTTGTACTTTTTACCATATACATAAATGCGAATTTCTTGTAGAATAAAATGTGCAACCGTTTGCAAACAAAATAAAAATAAAATAAACACTATATTTTATAAATTACACCTGTTATATGCATAAAACCGCAAAATACGTCGGAAAAATTTCATTAAAAATTAACGCGATTTTTTATCCGCTTAAATCTTTCACTTGTTTCACTATAATTACATACATAACCAATCTATCTACGTACCCAAAAGTAGAAAATTTACATGAACATTTGTTGAATTTTTCAACGTTCTGTATAAATTTTGAAAGTTTGACTTATGTGGTTTCGATTAAAGCATGAACCATATTTTTATAAAAAAATAACAAAAAAAAAATTTATTTGAAAAACATTGTAAATATTAAACAAAAAGAACCATGCAATCACTCTTGATGTGTGTATGTACGTTAGTGTGTCTAACAAATTATGGCTTGTTATCAAAATACCGATATTAATTAATAAACTTAATATTATATAGTACAAATGTGTTCGCAAAATTAATTTCATTAAAATTATTTCTGCAATCAAATTTTCTATTCATGCAAAAAGCCAAACGCATAAATATGTACGTATGTACACATTTATTTGTAAATATGTAGATATGTAATGTATGTATGTAACATATATATGTACATACAAATGTGCGATTGGTCGGCTTTCGTCTTCCCCTCGCCGCTCCCATCCACACACAAATTATTCAATTTCTGGGAATCGACACCAGATTGGCACGTGCGCGAAAATATTAACCCTCCGTTTGCCAAATATTTAGTTTTTCGCATAAGTTTGCATTTAATAAAGCAATACTCGTACATTTTGTATGGAGAATAATATTAATTAATTTAAAATTCTGCATGTAACCATGTTCTCGACGATATATGTAACTTTCATAAAGATTAACCATAAAAATTGTGCTTCATTAACAGTTGCAACCAGCTGAAACCAAAAAAACTATGTCCGCTAAATGGGTTAAAGACCAACTGGAATTGACATTTTTTACACGCATACATGCATACATTCATATACACATGTACAGTGGAGTAGCACTAGGTTGAACATTGCATTGCTTGTACTTTGATGTGTTTGAATCTTTTATGGTACTGAAGATTTGCTTAGGGATGAAAAATATTAAAAATCGTTCGTGCATATATGTAAATATATTTTTATAAACGCTTTGAAGTATAGAAATTTTTAATATTAAAAAATAAATAAAATATTTTTTTTTGTATATATATAAAATTTGTTCAAGGCACATTGACCCACCTGTCGATTTTTGCGACCCAAATGCCGACGGCAAATCACCAATGAGTTTGCATATTTGCATAGCTTTCACATATTTATTAGATAACAAATCTACGTTTTGGAGTTAAAGCATTCCCGGGCATATATTTTCGTAAATTAATTTTCATTAATTTAACCAAGAATTTTAATCTTTTTTTTTATTAAATCAATGCCGCGAAAAAGAAAATCCAAACCAAAGTACTTAACATTGATACAAATTAACAATATTGTATCTCCGCTCAGCTCTGTTAACTTGCCGCTCAGGTCTGTTAATTTGCCGCTCTCAATTTTCGATTCGAGTGGTGAGCTTCTAGAGCGATTTTGGTAGTGTTTGACAATTCACACGGCTATTCGTAATTGTTGCTTCTCTGTTTTAAACGTTCTCTGCTGCTTCTCTGTTTAAAACGTTCTCTGCCTGCTTCTCTGTTTTAAACGTTCTCTGGTTCGGTCAGCTTAATGAACTAGTTCTTTTAGTTGATGAACACATGTATGATATTTTAAACGCAGTTCAGTTATTTTTATTATCATATTATATTCGAAACAAAAACTTTGGTAATTCGAATTCACAGAATACGTTTACATACATAAAAAACGTGTGTTTAGGAACATAAATCATATAAAAATTATTCAGGCTTTTTTGCAGTAATGGTAATATCTATCATTATTTTTATTACACAAAAATAACATTTAATTTTACTCGTATGCACCATATGTTAGAACGTATCAGCTGGATACAGGGCTTTTATAGTTTTCGGATAAATAAAATACAAAATGAGAAATATTAGCACTGAGAAATTTAGTTCAATGAACTAGTTCTTTAGTTAAAGATTATCTTAAAATATCTTTCGGTTTTTTTTGGGAGCAAATTTGTACGAGAAAAAAGGGCTGTGTAGATGTATCGTATTAGTCATTTCCAAATGCGGTTGAATTAGCATTTGATTCTCCCCTAGCTATTTCAAATGCGACATTACCTCATGGTGCAAATATTATTTATTTAGGTTTCTTCTTTAAGTCGTCATTAAAAAATTAAAAAAACCTGGATGAAATTCCGAAACGTACTCATCGTGTTCCTCAGCGATTCCTGCTTCATAGCTCCTTAAATTATTGTTCCAAGGGGCAACCAAAGACTTTTTATCATCCCCGGTCTCGCCCATCAAGTACCAAATCCCCAGGCAGAATTCCTCATCAGACAGTATTATTGGTGCCCAAAATGGGTGATATTCAGTTACGATGGTCTCCGGTTTTCCAGTTGTTGGGTAAGTTGGGCAGCGTAGTTCAGCAATCGACGTTGAAACAATCTGTGATATTAATCCGTTAGCCTTAAAGTCAATGCCCCTGCTGCTAATATATTGAGGATATTTACTTCCGATCTTTTCAATACAATCAGCAACAAGTGCTATATCATCGCGAAGAAGATTTATGGAATAATTATCCGGCATTATATCGTTGGGGTTTTCCAACACGGGGGCTGGGTTAAGTTTTCTACCCCGAACGGAATGTGTTTTCGTTGTACTGAAGTCCCATCGTGCACCAGGTATTGGATTGTATTTGTAAAACTTTCGTCTTATAGGATTTTGATTTCGCGAATTACGGGACAACTGAGTGACCACGTAGCGGAGATTTGAAAATCGCACATAAATAGGGCTGCAACTTCCTTTAAGTAGACGGGGATGTTTAGGTAGAAACGACATTCCACCCTTTTTAAAAAACCCGATTCCTGATAAAATCTTTATCAACGGAGCGAAGCCTGCTCCCATACCTTCCAAGGCGTGACGGTAAGACTCAGGCACAAATATATCTTCGAATCCATGGTTGTCGAAATTTTTGGAATGTTGCCCCTCCATAGCTCCAGCCAGCTTCAGATCGAACTGGAGTAGTGAGATGCGGTATAGTGCATTGGTCAATTTATAAATCCGGTCACTGAAATCCTCAACTCCGGGGAATATGTCGAGTCGACTAAGATCTGCGGCTAGTATTCTTATATTTAACCCGATTGCACGCGTACTAACAGGAAGAATCCTAATACACTGATTCTGAGTAATCCATTTGTACTCCATAGTTTTATTTAAACTTAGAAACGATCCTCCTTTTGATTTATATTTTTTATTACGCCAGCATGGACAACTAGACCTCAAGCCATATTCAACAAGGTAGACATGGGGATGGAAGAACCGACTGACCTTTTAGCAGGAAAAACTCGACTCTTTCGAATCGAGTTCAGTCGTTTCAAGTCGACTCGAATCGACTTTTGTCGACTAATAGGGACCTTACATGATCGATTTCTTTCATCAAATGCGTTGCTACGTTTATGCGTTGGCCAGTTCATGAAATCAATTCATAAAATCACAAACAGCTGTTTACTAGGGTTATGAAATTTCTAGATTCAAAAGAATGTAGTGGCAAAGCCATTATTTAAAATACTGGAAAAGTTGCATGGTGTTGGGTTTATACAGAGTGTCCTAGGCAGCCGTCCATCCCCGCTAAAATATATAGAAATCTTTTTTAATGAAAAACGCAAAAAATTGGCCTTCAAATCGGGGATTCTCTATCTTTTGGTGGTATTACTGACTTCCGAATTCGACCTGAAGTGGGTTAAACTGACAGAAAGTTCGTTTTTTTTTTAAATTAGACATACATATTTTTACTACACATTCGGATTCCGAAAGTGGGCTAAACTGACCGGAATTCCTACACATGTTTTTGCCATTCCGCGAACAAAAATACATAACTTTTGTCGGAAGTTTTTTTCTGGAATGGACTTCCGGTTAGAATTATCCAATTCCAGTCTATTTAAACAATCTCCGGTTGGAGCCCCAGGTCTGTAATACGACCTCCGACTTGTTAGTTGATATTTTTTCGTTTTCCAAAAAAAAAACTTTTATTTAAGGCTCCATATAGAAATTATTTTCTGCGTCACAGGGATCCTTTTCACTGACATCCAAGTTAACTCTGTAATTTTGAATAAAAAACGCCACATTGGTAACCCATGTATTGCTGCAACTGATAAAATTCGCCCAACAACCGCAAAAATGTATGGAACGAATTCAATCCAGTTGATTTTTGACCAATCAGATTGAGAGGTTTTGTTTGCGGCACCGTTTCCATTGTGTGTATCGCTATGTTCTGTGCGTTTTGTCAGGCAAAAGCATCCCGGTGACTAGGGTTCGAAATTTCAAACTTTGGTATCGATACTGAGTACTCATTCTGGCATCGAGCTCATGGTATCGATACTCTAAAAGTATCAGGGAAAAAGTATCGATACTACTCAGTATCGGACTCATTAAAATAGGTTTTTTTGGGATACTAAAATTATTTTAATCTTCAATCGTATATCTAGTTATTTCCTGAAATTAAAACAATAGAAATTTAAAATATTTTATTTTTATTTCATTGCAGAACTTACTTTCAGGTTAGAAGTAATTTTAACGTCAAATGTACATACATATATATATATATATATTTTCACGAATTTCAAGTTTTATTAAGAAATTTTTGTAAAGCTTTAGTATGCATTTTTGTAGCCTATTAAATTTTAGTATAATAATGTGCAAGTTTGAATTAAAAGTCAACGGTAGTAGGCTACACGTAAATTTGAATAGGTTACAGAACTGCATTCCCAAAAAGTTTCTAAAAAATCTGCATTTTCGTGAACTTTGCGTAAAGTTTTATGGCCTTATTCATAAAAAATAAAAAAGGTTTATAAACTGAAAAATTTATGAAAATGTCATTTTATTAAGCTCTTTAAAATTACTTTATTTTTTATGAATAAGGCCACTAAACAATCACTTATTTGGTTTATGTTATGCAACAGAATACACGCAATTGCAGTTTATTTTAAGTGATAGACAAAAGAGTAATCCATATAAGCAAAGAAAGCAATCGAAGAAAAAATTTAAAAAGTGTGCGTTTTAAAAAGTATTCGATACTACGAGTACTTTGCAAAGTATCGACTAAAATCACCAAATAAGGTATCGAGTATTAAAGTACTAATTTTTATACCCTCAGTATCGATACTTACTCAATATCGATAGTATCGTTCGAACCCTACCGGTGACGCAGAAAAGATTTTCTATCTGGCCGGTCCTTAACCCGTGCCATGCCGCAACTGATAAAAATCGGCCAACTGTCAACTTTACACGCACGCATATGCAGCAAAACAAGAACACCAACAAAAATAGGTGCGTTCGTTTAAAATCTCCAGCAGAAACCAACCAACTGCCAAATTTCGGCGAAATGTCATCTGTTCTCTCACAAGAGATAAATATCCAAAATAGTACGCGAACAGAAAATTTGCAGAAACTTGCAAGTTAGACGAACAGCTGATATAATTTTTGTTTACATACAAAAGTGTAAAATTTAAAACGTACGAAAAGTCATCGCAAAGTGTTATACTGACACAGTTTATTGATTAAACAAATAACTACTTATTTCTTACAAGTTTAATTAGTCGCATTTTGTAATTTTTATCTTCCAAACCATCAAATTCAATTTTGTGATTTGCGTAAATGCCAACCAGCTGTTTTTGATCAGCTGTTTTCCTGTTGGCAAATTGCTGTTGGCAAAAATTTTTCCAGCAGAAACCAGCAGCTTCCCCTCAAAATGAAATGTCAGTTTGCTCTCTCAATTTCCCCTACTTTGCAAGTTTTTTGCGTACGCGAACGCAAAAACTTGTAAGTTTTGGTTAAACATGAACAATTAACAGCTACGCGAACGAACCTAATGTATGGAACGAACTCAATAATTCAGCTGATTTTTGATGAAACCGAATCAAAATAACGTTCCTATTTCGGTTTCATTCTTCTGATCTCGGTTTCGGTTGTGACATAAATTATGAAAACAAGTTTGACGAAAAAGATTATTTATTAAATAAATTTGTACCTTCCAAGGTTCGCTAATTTTTTTTTCTACATTAAACATTGTGGCTAATTTTAATTCAAACGATGAAAATACCTCTGAATCACTCACGCTGCAAATTGCCTATCAGCTTAAAAGCCAATTTTTCGTTCAATCATAGTTTTGTCAAGTGAGCTTTTGTTTGCAGAAAATTGTGTTGTTATTAAAATATAAAAAATAAAATAAAGTAAACAGAACCCTACGTGGTACAACTCATGTGTTAACAAATTCAACGCAATTTCTTGAACGTGTCAATGCAAAGTATCGCTTGTTTGGTTTTACTTGGACCTTACACGATCAAGAACTTCCTTCAAGTTCTAATATACTCACACTTTTTTAATAATACACTCGCACGTTTACTACTTCACCATCGACTTTCCAGCCAGCAGAGAACCGTAATATTTGCCGACAGTGCGTCTTGTACAATTTTCTGTATCCGGAAATGAACAGAAAACGACTACAACTTCCGTTCATTTATGTATCCAAGAACGCCCATAAACCCGGTATTTTATTTGTTAACGTTGAGCACTTGAAACCTTGTATATGTAGTTGGCAGTGACTAAGCGTGCCACTAGTTGTTAGCTTCCAGAAGGTGCCACGCTCGAATTCCGTCGGGCGGAAAAAACCATCTGTGAAGTGCAGAAGGAAAGCGTATTGAACGAAAAATTCAATCAGACAAATTTCAGAAAAACAGTTCAAAACGTCTCCATTTCGCAACAATTTTCGGTACTTGTCTGCCGCATACTTTAGCGGGAAAAGGGATCGTTAAAGTATAAGAAAATGGAATCGGCCAACGGAAAAATTCACATTTTTTCCTTTTTGGGTCGATTTTCGGATTTTTTTGTCTGGCTGATAGTCAAGTCAAACAGCTGATCACATTTAGTCTGTTCCCACCATGGTCTTTTCCATTACTATATTTATTCAGATTTTGTGTCAGATAGATGTGTGTACAGGAACCTGGCGAGAATTTTAGGCTGTCTCATTGACGACGGCATCTTCGTGATAAAACCATAACAAGATAAAACCATTGAGTATGACGTTTACCAGCAATGTTATTTAAAAATGAAAAACTGAGGCCCTTATTATGAGCTGCATTCGATTTTCGATCTTCGCTGGCTATCGAAGATCGAAGATCGAAAGTGAAATTCGTATTATGAGCTATGCAAGCGTGTCGAAATTTTCGTTGAGTATCGAATTTTCTGTCGAACAGAATTTTGCTTTCGATGGTGTAGCGAAGTGTTAGAAAATTGTGAAAAATTTATGATTTTGTGTATGTTTTCTTACATTTTGGCGGCTAGACACTAATTTTAAACAATTTTTATTAATTTCATGCAGTTCTAACATCGTGAATACTAAACACAAGCACGAAAGGCTGGTTTTACTTGTGAAAGAAAATCCCAATACTCTGTTGGCGCGATCTCTGAGAACAAAATCGTAGCGCTGTTGATAGTTTTAAAATATTTTAAATAGATTTGGCTCACAAACGCCTCTTTAGATGGTCGGAACTTTTTAATGAATCTGTAGACAAATTTCTTAAATATATTTTATATCAAAATATATTCGAAAGACTAATAAACTTAAACTCTCTTAAACATTTGCTACTCCTGGCCAGTTTACTAAGCTCTCATCCTCTGACGAATCGTTGAACCAGAACTCGTTGTACTCATTTTACCACGTTTTTATAAACTTGCTTTCTTTTTTACTTCATTTTAATTAGAACAAATTTACATAAATATGTATAAGCACACTATTTAGTTTGCTCGATTTGTAAACAAAGCTTCTCAGCGGTGAAAAATATACTATTGTGAACAACCTAAACGAGCGAAATTCACAATAGCGCTATTCTTCATCGAATGAGCGCCATAATACCAAATGAAAATTCGTTCGCTCAGCACTTTCGACCACAGTCGAAAATCGAATGCAACTCATAATAGGGGCCTCAAACTCACACACGCATTCTCATTTTCAATCTCAAACAACAATTGTGAACAATTTCATTTTTTAAATTTCAAATCTATATGATTTTAAAATGCTTGCGAACGTTGATTTTAATAGTTTTCTCGAAACCGATTAGAACTAGGGCTACAAAAGTTACGAAAATTTGGATACCCGTATGTATTCATTACTAATCCAATCAAACCCCGTTACTTTCGTATCGTTACCGTATTCGTTACTTTTTAAACAACCACCGTGTACCTCATACCGATTCTCGAATTT